ACCCCTCTCAATCAGAAAGATTTCTGGCTCCCAGGTGTCTTTTATACAGATAACGAGCTGAGATTAGAAGCACACTCTTAAAGGGAGTGCTCCTAATCTCAGCTTGTTACCTGTATAAAAGACACCTGTCCACAGAAGCAATCAATCAATCAGATTCCAAACTCTCCACCATGGCCAAGACCAAAGAGCTCTCCAAGGAAGTCAGGGTTAAGATTGTAGACCTACACAAGGCTGGAATGGGCTACAAGACCATCGCCAAGCAGCTTGGTGAGAAGGTGACAACAGTTGGTGCGATTATTCGCAAATGGAAGAAACACAAAAGAACTGTCAATCTCCCTCGGCCTGGGGCTCCATGCAAGATCTCACCTCGTAGAGTTGCAATGATCATGAGAACGGAGAGGAATCAGCCCAGAACTACACAGGAGGATCTTGTCAATGATCTCAAGGCAGCTGGGACCATAGTCACCAAGAAAACAATTGGTAACACACTACGCCGTGAAGGACTGAAATCCTGCAGCGCCCGCAAGGTCTCCCTGCTCAAGAAAGCACATATACAGGCCTGTCTGAAGTTTGCCAATGAACATCTGAATGATTCAGAGGAGAACTGGGTGAAAGTGTTGTGGTCAGATGAGACCAAAATTGAGCTCTTTCGCATCAACTCAACTCGCCGTGTTTGGAGGAGGAGGAATGCTGCCTATGACCCCAAGAACACCATCCCCACCATCAAACATGGAGGTGGAAACATTATGCTTTGGGGGTGTTTTTCTGCTAAGGGGACAGGACAACTTCACCACATCAAAGGGATGATGGACGGGGCCATGAACTGTCAAATCTTGGGTGAGAACCTCCTTCCCTCAGCCAGGGCATTGAAAATGGGTCATGGATGGGTATTCCAGCATGACAATGACCCAAAACACACGGCCAAGGCAACAAAGGAGTGGCTCAAGAAGAAGCATATTAAGGTCCTGGAGTGGCCTAGCCAGTCTCCAGACCTTAATCCCATAGAAAATCTGTGGAGGGAGCTGAAGGTTTGAGTTGCCAAACGTCAGGCTCAAAATCTTAATGACTTGGAGAAGATCTGCAAAGAGGAGTGGGACAAAATCCCTCCTGAGATGTGTGCAAACCTGGTGGCCAACTACAAGAAACGTCTGACCTCTGTGATTGCCAACAAGGGTTTTGCCACCAAGTACTAAGTCACGTTTTGCAGAGGGGTCAAATACTTATTTTGCTCATTAAAATGCAAATCAATTTATAACATTTTTTACATGCATTTTTCTGGATTTTTTTGTTGTTATTCTGTCTCTCACTGTTCAAATAAACATACCATTAAAATTATAGACTGATCATGTCTTTATCAGTGGGCAAACGTACAAAATCAGCAGGGGGTCAAATACTTTTTTCCCTCACTGTAGCTAAATCAGTTTTAGCCAGGCTAAATTCTACAAATTTTGGTGGAAAGTGGAGGTACTCGACACCTTGAAACTGTCCCAGTTCCCTAGAAGCCGTTCCCATCGTTCCCCCAAATCAGGATTTAGTGACTCAATCAGTGTTAAATCCAGTCACGTCCATCTGAACTGGAAAAAACGGAACTGGAAAAACTGCCATATTCCCATTCACAAAAACACAAAGACGCAACTTCAGAATACATTTGGAAATACATGTTCTTGGTCCTAGTCATGACATTTTCAGAGTAGGGGAGACTGTGGGCAATTGTAAAATGTTTTGTCTTTTACTCTATTGCTCAGAGAACACTTGAACTATGCCAGTATTTTTTAAAATAAAAAACATACATCTGTCTCCTAATCATTCATATCATTTATAGGTCTGTACATAAGACGGTCGGATCACAATATTTGATTTTAATCCGAAAAGTCTGGACGTTACATTAGCTTAGGTCAAATGTAACACCTAAAAAATAAACCAAATAAATTCACCTAACTTCATGTTATGAATTATCATAGACATATGTAATGATTTTGCAAGAAATATAATTATGTCTATGTACATGACCAATATTTACAGTAACACCCCTGTTTGTGCATGGCCATTCGGTTCCTCTCAAAACATCTGAATAGTCTGATGGTGCCCAAATTATACAGTGGGGAAAAAAAAGTATTTAGTCAGCCATCAATTGTGCAAGTTCTCCCACTTAAAAAGATGAGAAAGGCCTGTAATTTGGTACACTGTCAACTATGACAGACAAATTGAGATGTTTTTTTTCCAGAAAATCACATTGTAGGATTTTTAATGAATTTATTTGCAAATTATGGTGGAAAATAAGTATTTGGTCACCTACAAACAAGCAAGATTTCTGGCTTTCACAGACCTGTAACTTCATCTTTAAGAGGCTCCTCTGTCCTCCACTCGTTACCTGTATTAATGGCACCTGTTTGAACTTGTTATCAGTATAAAAGACACCTGTCCACAACCTCAAACAGTCACACTCCAAACTCCACTATGGCCAAGACCAAAGAGCTGTCAAAGGACACCAGAAACAAAATTGTAGACCTGCACCAGGCTGGGAAGACTGAATCTGCAATAGGTAAGCAGCTTGGTTTGAAGAAATCAACTGTGGGAGCAATTATTAGGAAATGGAAGACATACAAGACCACTGACAATCTCCCTCGATCTGGGGCTCCACGCAAGATCTCACCCCGTGGGGTCAAAATGATCACAAGAACGGTGTGCAATAATCCCAGAACCACACAGGGGGACCTAGTGAATGACCTGCAGAGAGCTGGGACCAAAGTAACAAAGCCTACCATCAGTAACACACTACGCCGCCAGGGACTCAAATCCTGCAGTGCCAGACGTGTCCCCCTGCTTAAGCCAGTACATGTCCAGGCCCGTCTGAAGTTTGCTAGAGTGCATTTGGATGATCCAGAAGAGGATTGGGAGAATGTCATATGGTCAGATGAAACCAAAATAGAACCTTTTGGTAAAAACTCAACTCGTCGTGTTTGGAAGACAAAGAATGCTGAGTTGCATCCAAAGAACACCATACCTACTGTGAAGCATGGGGGTGGAAACATCATGCTTTGGGGATGTTTTTCTGCAAAGGGACCAGGACGACTGATCCGTGTAAAGGAAAGAATGAATGGGGCCATGTATCGTGAGATTTTGAGTGAAAACCTCCTTCCATCAGCAAGGGCATTGAAGATGAAACGTGGCTGGGTCTTTCAGCATGACAATGATCCCAAACACACCGCCCGGGCAACGAAGGAGTGGCTTCGTACGAAGCATTTCAAGGTTCTGGAATGGCCTAGCCAGTCTCCAGATCTCAACCCCATAGAAAATCTTTGGAGGGAGTTGAAAGACTGTGTTGCCCAGCGACAGCCCCAAAACATCACTGCTCTAGAGGAGATCTGCATGGAGGAATGGGCCAAAATACCAGCAACAGTGTGTGAAAACCTTGTGAAGACTTACAGAAAACCTTTGACCTGTGTCATTGCCAACTAAGGGTATATAACAAAGTATTGAGAAACTTTTGTTATTGTCCAAATACTTATTTTCCACCATAATTTGCAAATAAATTCATTAAAAATCCTACAATGTGATTTTCTGGATTTTCTTTTCTCATTTTGTCTGTCATAGTTGACGTGTACCTATGATGAAAATTACAGGCCTCTCTCATCTTTTTAAGTGGGAGAACTTGCACAATTGGTGGCTGACTAAATCCTTTTTTTTCCCCACTGTACCTGTTTACAACTTATTTGGCACTCTACATGACACCAAGGCTATTTAAAGTTAGTTTTTGTATAAGTCAGCCATGTCAAAATCTCATGTACCTAGAATGATATAACAATTAAATTCAATTATGTCTATGTTTAGCCAAAATATAGTGATGAAACTTATCCTAGTTTGAATTCTTGGACATTAATGCTCAGGACAGTATAAGGCAAAATACAGCCAGTGGAAAAAACTACTTTCACCCCTAAAAAACTAACATTTGGCCATAAAACATGTAAATAATGAAATACTTGGCTGAAACTTTTCAAGCAGGGAGAGAACCCAAATGGGAATGTACTGAGAGTTTCATCATTCTGGGTGTGTTCATAAATTAAATCTGGAGTGCCAGAGCGCATTCAGAGTGCACTCTGGGCGTTTGTAAATTCAGAGTGTTTCGCTCTTGGAGCATTCAGAGCTCACACTGGACGCTCTGGCCGAGGAGTAGGTTTGATCCGAGCGTTCTGACCTCACAAAGGCAGTCAAGCACCTACGCTAACTTGCTAATATTGGCTAGCTTGCTAGCTACTTCCAGACACAAATGAGAGAACACCTCACTCTGACCATTTTACTCGCCCTAGCAGAGCTGGTTAGGCTGTTTTCATGTTATCCAGAGCGTTGGTGACTGTAAGTGTGCTGCTGGCAACAATTTAGTTACGTTTTTTTTCTCACGTTAACTGACACCGGCCATATTCAACGGGTGTGTTGAGCGTTCGTAAATTCGTCAATTATTCTTCACTCTGGCACACTCAGATGAGAGTGCTCTAAAATCTGAGTAAATAGTCATAGTAAATGTACAAACGCACCCTCTATCTTGTTTCTGTTTGGAGAAATTAAGGGTGTTACAATTGTACAAATAAATCATGTACAAATAAATATTGACAAAAATGGAGGGTATAGATTGGAGGTTTTCTTTGGACATTGACAATAGCATTGGCATTTCTTACTTCAGTGAAACAAGATGAAGATGCTTATTTAATTCATTCCATGAATGATCAGGACGCAGACAAGCAGGATGCAAAATTATTTCTGCCGTTTCAGTGTGTTGGGATTTATTGATGTGATAATACAGAGCGTTGGAGGGGCTTGCTGAAGTGAAATAAAACAAATGTGATGAGTTTCAACAGTGTTCTGAATGATGACTGTCTTCATTTGCCTGTGTGTGTGTGTGTGTGTGTGTGTGTGTGTGTGTGTGTGTGTGTGTGCATAATGTGTTAATGTGTGTACGTATGCATACGCAAATGTTCATTTATGTGTAACACTGTGTTTTACAGCAATGAAATGGGCCTTTCACACTTGTGGGGCAGTTGGTTCAGAGGGGCCCACTCCAACCCAGTGTAGCAGCTCCTATCGGAACAGCAATGTCAATGTTACCGTGGCAACCAGAAGCCCATTCAAAGGCATCCAAATATGGAGGGTACCGGAGACTGGCATCTACAGGTAAGACATCAGCTGCATGTAAATAGTCTCTATTGCCTTCCTTTTATAATTATCAAGTAAGATAACATAGCCTGAATCTCAATAGTCTTAACTGGCTTCCTTTCATGGTAGTTGTAACATATAGGCTGAATATCCATAGTCTAAATTGCATTCCTGTCATGATAGGTGTAACATGCTGAGTCTCAATTGTCTAAATTGGCTTCCTTTCATGATAGGTGTATGGTATAGGCTGAGTCTCAATCTTAACTGGCTTCCTTTCATGGTAGGTGTAACACAGACTGAATATCCAGAGTCTGAATTGGCTTGGTAGTTGTAGAACATAGGCTTAATGTTGATAGTCTAACTTGGATTACGTGGTAGGTGCACTCTTAGAATAAAAGGTGCTAAGTAGAACCATATAGGGTTCTTCGGTTCGTCCCCTTTTTGGTGCTGGGTAGAACCCTTTGCAGAGGGTTCTACCTAGAACCCTCTATGTAGGGTTCTTCATAGAAACTGCTGTACATGGTTCTTCCTAGAACCCTCTATGAATGGTTCCACCAGCCTTATTAGCCTTTAAAATTTAATTATTAATGATAATACATTTTGTGTGTATAGTTGAAGTTGGAAGTTTACATACACTTAGTCATTAAAACTCGTTTTTCAACCACTCCACAAATGTCTTGTTAAAAAACTATTGTTTTGGCAAGTCGGTTAGGACATCTACATTGTGCACGACAAAAGTAATTTTTCAAATGTTCCATACATTTGGCAAGTCGGTTAGTAATTTTTCCAACAATTGTTTACAGACAGATTATTTCACTTATAATTCACTGTATCACAATTCCAGTGGGTCAGAAGTTTACATACACTAAGTTGACAGTGCCTTTAAACAGCTTGGAAAATTCCAGAAAATGATGTCATGGCTTTAGAAGCTTCTGATAGGCTAATTGACATCATTTGAGTCATTTGGAGGTGTACCTGTGGATGTATTTCAAGACCTACCTTCAAACTCAGTGCCTCTTTGCTTGACATCATGGGAAAATCAAAAGAAGTCAGCCAAGACCTCAGAAAACAAATGGTAGACCTCCACAAGTCTGGTTCATCCTTGGGAGAAAAAAAACAAAACAAAAAAAACTTTGTAAAGTGGTTATCCCACTGGCTATAAGGTGAATGCACCTATTTGTAAGTCGCTCTGGATAAGAGCGTCTGCTAAATGACGTAAATGTAAATGCAAATGAATTTCCAAACGCCTGAAGGTACCATGTTTATCTGTACTAACAATAGTACGCAAGTATAAACACCATGGGAACACACAGCCGTCATACCGCTCAGGAAGGAGACGCGTTCTGTCTCCTAGCGATGAACATACTTTGGTGTGAAAAGTGCAAATTAATCACAGAACAACAGCAAAGGACCTTGTGAAGATGCTGGAGGAAACAGGTACAAAAGTATCTATATCCACAGTAAAACAAGTCCTATATCGACATGACCTGAAAGGCCGCTCAGCAAGGAAAAAGCCACTGCTCCAAAACCGCCATAAAAAGGCCAGACTACAGTTTGCAACTGCACAAGGGGACAAAGATCGTACTTTTTGGAGAAATGTCCTCTGGTCTGATGAAACAAAAATAGAACTGTTTGGCCATAATGACCATCATTATGTTTGGAGGAAAAAGGGGGTCGCTTGCAAGCCGAAGAACACCATCCCAAACGTGAAGCACGGGGGTGGCAGCATCATGCTGTGGGGGTGCTCTGCTGCAGGAGGGACTGGTGCACTTCACAAAATAGATGGCATCATGAGGAAGGAAAATTATGTGGATATATTGAAGCAACATCTCAAGACATCAGTCAGGAAGTTAAAGCTTGATCGCAAATGGGTCTTCCAAATGGATAATGACCCCAAACACACTTCCAAAGTTGTGGCAAAATGGCAAGGACAACAAACTCAAGTTATTGGAGTGGCCATCACAAAGCCCTGACCTCAATCCTATAGAAAATGTGTGGGCAGAACTGAAAAAGCGTGTGCGAGCAAGGAGGCCTACAAACCTGACTCAGTTACACCAGCTCTGTCAGGAGGAATGGGACAAAATTTACCCAAATGTTTGACCCAAGTTAAACAATTTAAAGGCAATGCTACCAAATACTAATTGAGTGTATGTAAATTTCTGACCCACTGGGAATGTGATGAAATAAATAAAAGCTGAAATAAATAATTCTCTCTATTATTCTGACATTTCACATTCTTAAAATAAAGTGGTGATCCTAACTGACCAAAGACAGGGAATTTTTACTAGGATTAAATGTCAGGAATTGTGAAAAACTGAGTTTAAATGTATTTGGATAAGGTGTATGTAAACTTCCGACTTCAACTGTATATACAGTGGGGAGAACAAGTATTTGATACACTGCCGATTTTGCAGGTTTTCCTACTTACATAGCATGTAGAGGTCTGTAATTTTTCTAAAATTCAGAAAATCACATTGTATGATTTTTAAGTAATTAATTTGCATTTTATTGCATGATATAAGAATTTGATACATCAGAAAAGCAGAACTTAATATTTGGTACAGAACCCTTTGTTTGCAATTACAGAGATCATACTTTTCCTGTAGGTCTTCACCAGGTTTGCACACACTGCAGCAAGGATTTTGGCCCACTCCTCCATACAGACCTTCTCCAGATCCTTCAGGTTTCGGGGCTGTCGTTGGGCAATACAGACTTTCAGCTCCCTCCAAAGATTTTCTATTGGGTTCAGGTCTGGAGACTGGCTAGGCAACTCCAGGACCTTGAGATGCTTCTTACGGAGCCACTCCTTAGTTGCCCTGGCTGTGTGTTTCGGGTCATTGTCATGCTGGAAGACCCTGCCACGACCCATCTTCAATGCTCTTACTGAGGGAAGGAGGTTGTTGGCCAAGATCTCGCGATACATGTCCCCATCCATCCTCCCCTCAATATGGTGCAGTTGTCCTTTCCCCTTTGCAGAAAAGCATCCCCAAAGAATGATGTTTCCACCTCCATGCTTCACGGTTGGGATGGTGTTCTTGGGGTTGTACTCATTCTTCTTCTTCCTCCAAACATGGCGAGTGGAATTTAGACCAAAAAGCTCTATTTTTGTCTCATCAGACCACATGACCTTCTCCCATTCCTCCTCTGGATCATCCAGATGGTCATTGGCAAACTTCAGACGGGCCTGGACATGCGCTGGCTTGAGCAGGGGGACCTTGCGTGCTCTGCAGGATTTTAATCCATGATGGCGTAGTGTGTTTTTAATGGTTTTCTTTGAGACTGTGGTCCCAGCTCTCTTCAGGTCATTGACCAGGTCCTGCCGTGTAGTTCTGGGCTGATCCCTCACCTTCCTCATGATTATTGATGCCCCACGAGGTGAGATCTTGCATGGAGACCCAGACCGAGGGTGATTAACCGTCATCTTGAACTTCTTCCATTTTCTAATAATTGTGCCAACAGTTGTTGCCTTCTCACCAAGCTGCTTGCCTATTGTCCTGTAGCCCATCCCAGCCTTGTGCAGGTCTACAATTTTATCCCTGATGTCCTTACACAGCTCTCTGGTCTTGACCATTGTGGCGAGGTTGGAGTCTGTATGATTGTGGACAGGTGTCTTTTATACAGGTAACAAGTACAAACAGGTGCAGTTAATACAGGTAATGAGTGGAGAACAGGAGGGCTTCTTAAAGAAAAGCTAACAGGTCTGTGAGAGCCGGAATTCTTACTGGTTGGTAGGTGATCAAATACTTATGTCATGCAATAAAATGCAAATTAATTACTTAAAAATCATACAATGTGATTTTCTGGATTTTTCGTCTCTCACAGTTGAAGTGTACCTATGATAAAAATTACAGACCTCTACATGCTTTGTAAGTAGGAAAGCCTGCAAAATCGGCAGTGTATCAAATACTTGTTCTCTCTACTGTATATATATATATATATATATATATATATATATATATATATATATATATAGTTTTAGAACACCCACTCATTCAAGGTTTTTTCTATATTTTTACTTTTTTCTACATTGTAGAATAATAGTGAAGACATCAAAACTATGAAATATATGGAATCATGTAGTAACCAAAAAAGTGTTAAACAAATCTAAATATATTTTAGATTTTAGATTCTTGTTGTTGAGATGTGTCTGTTACTTGAACTCTGTGAATCATTTATTTGGGCTGCATTTTCTGAGGCTGGTAACTCTAATGAACTTATCATCTGCAGCAGAGGTAACGCTGGGTCTTCCATTCCTGTGGTGGTCCTCATGAAAGCCAGTTTCATCATAGCGCTTGATGGTTTTTGCGACTGCATTTCAAGAAACTTTCAAATTTCTTGAAATGTTCCGGATTGACTGATCTTCATGTCTTAAAGTAATATGGACTTGGTCTTTTACCCCCCCCCCTCAAATATAAAATATTTTTTAAGGATCTGACCCTTATTTTCAATTTTCGCCTAAAATGACATACTCAAATCTTACTGCCTGTAGCTCAGGACCTGAAACAAGGATATGCATATTATTGGTACCATACTAAAGGACACACTTTGAAGTTTTTGGTAATTTGAAATTAATGTAGGAGAATATAACACATCAGATCTGGTAAAAGATAAAACAAACAGAAAAACATGCGCTTTCAATATATATATTTTTGTTACATCATCTTTGAAATGCAAGAGAAAGGCCACAATATAATATTGTAAGCTAGGCGCAAGTTAGATGTTGGCCACTCGATGGCAGCAGTGTGCGTGCAAATTTCAGATTGATCCAGTGAAGCATTGCAATACTGGACTATTTTGTATTACCACAAGATGTAAACCATTGGTAAACCTCCAAAACAGGAAGACCAGATTAGAGTTTGCCATAAAACATCTTTAAAAGCCTGTCCAGTTCTGGAAAAACATCCTATGGACAGATGAGACAAAGATCAACTTGTACCAGAATGATGGGAAGAGAAGAGTATGGAGAAGGGAAGGAACTGCTCATGATCCGAAGCATACCACCTCATCTGTGAAGCATGGTGGAGGTAGTGTTATGGCGTGGGCATGTATGGCTGCCAATGGAACTGGTTCCCTTGTATTTATTGATGATGTAACTGCAGGATGAATTCTGAAGTGTTTAGGGCTATATTATCTGCTCAGATTCAGCCAAATGCTTCAAACTCATTGGACGGCGCTTCACAGTGCAGATGGACAATGACCCGAAGCATACTGCGACAGCAACCCAATACTTTTTTAAGTCAAAGAAGTGGAATGTTCTGCAATGGCCAAGTCAATCATCTGACCTAAATCCAATTGAGCATGCATTTAACTTGCTGAAGGCAAAACTGAAGGCAAAACACCCCAAGAACAAGCAGGAACTGAAGACAGCTGCAGTAAAGGCCTGGCAGAGCATCACCAGGGAAGAAACCCAGTATCTGGTGATGTCTATGGGTTCCAGACTTCAGGCAGTCAATGACTGCAAAGGATTTGCAACCAAGTATTAAAAATAACAATTTAATTTATGATTATGTTAGTTTGTCCAATTACTTTTGAGCCACTAAAATCGGGGGGCTATGTATAGAAATGGTTGTAATTCCTACACGGTTCATACAATAATTTTGACAAAACCCTTAAATTAAAGATGAAAGTCTACACTTAAAGGACATCTTGATTGTTTCCTTTCAAATCCATTGTGGTGCTGTACAGAGTCAAAATGATGCAAATTGTGTCACTGTCCAAATACTTATGGACCTGACTGTATATGTGTGTATTGGGGGGCTTTCAGAAAGTATTCAGAACCCTTGACTTTTTCCACAATCTGTTTTGTTATAAAGTGGGATTAAAATTGTCAGCGATCTACACAAAATACTCTGTAATGACAAAGTGGAAGAAACATTTGAATATTTGAAAAATATTTTATGAAAATGATATGTTGATTAGAAAGTATTCAACCCACTGAGTCAATACATGTTAGAGTCACCTTTGGCAGCAATTATAGCTGTGTCTTTCTGGGTAAATCTCTAAGAGCTTTGCACATCTGGAATGTACAATATTTGCACATTATTGTTTTTAAAATTCTTCAAACTCTGTCAAGTTGGTTGTTGATTGTTGCTAGACAGCCGTTTTCAAGGGTTATTTGATTATTCTTTGGAAGGCAAGAAGGATTCTTTGGAAGGCAAGAAGGGTTCTACATAGAACGATTTATCACATTTCCCAGCATGCTCTATTGCAGGGTGATTTTCAAAATTGTTTGTTTTAATATCTGCGTTTTTGTATTGATTGGCTGATAAATGTTATGCTACACAAAGATAAATAGCACATTATTCTGAACTAATCCAATCTGTTAGTAGTGGGACTTATTGCTGTCACGATCGTCATACATAGAGGACCAAGGCGCAGCGTTGAAGGTGAACATGTTTAATAATAATAATGATGATGATCAACCGATCAGAACAACAAACGAATAACGTGACGTCTACGGTTTAACACAAACCGAAATGAACAAAAACCCACAACACCCACAGGAAAACATACAGATAAATATGGCTCCCAATCAGAGATAACGAGCCGACAGCTGACACTCGTTACCTCCGATTGGGAGTCATTGACCAAACATAGAAATGCACCCAACAGAAATACAAACATAGAAATACACCCAAATAATGAACACACCCTGGCTCACTATACAGAGTCCCGGAGCCAGAGCGTGACAGTACCCCCCCCTAAAGGCGCGGACTGCGACCGCGCCTCAATACGGGCTAAACAAGGGAGGGCTGGGTGGGCACACCTCCTCGGCGGTGGCTCTGGCTCCGTCCTTGATCCCCACCTCCTCTCCAACCCCCCAAAGTACCCCTGGTCCTGTCCAGCCCCGCTGGCCGGAGCCGGACCGACGACACGCGCCCCTGGCCTGATGCGTGGAGGAGGAACGGGCCGGACCGGGCTGACGACGCGCACCACTGACCTGGTGCGGGGAGCTTGGATGGGCCGAACTGGGCTGGCGACGCGCACCACAGACTTGGTGCGGAGAGCAGGAACGGGCCGGACAGGGCTGACGAAACGCACCACAGACTTGGTGCGGAGAACAGGCACGGGCCGTGCCGGACTGACGCCGCACCCCACTGGCTTGGTGTGGGGAGCAGGAGCGGACCGAGCCGGGCTGTCGAAGCGCACCCCTGACTTGGTGCGGGGAGCAGGAACGGGACGAGCCGGGCTGGCGACGCGCACCACAGACCTGGTGCGGAGAGCAGGAACGGGCAGAGCCGGGCTGACGAGACGCACCACAGACTTGATGCGGGGAGCAGGAATGGGCCGGACTGGGCTGGCGACGCGCACCACAGACCTGGTGCGGAGAGCAGGAACGGGCAGAGCCGGGCTGACGAGACGCACCACAGACTTGATGCGGGGAGCAGGAATGGGCCGGACCGGGCTGACGAGACGCACCACAGACTTGATGCTGGGAGCAGGAACGGGCCGGACTGGACTGACGACGCACACCACTGGCTTGGTGCGGGAAGCTTGGATGGGCCGGACTGTACTGGGGACACACACCACTGGCCCCACACCGGGATCTGGAACGGGCCGGACCGGACTGGCAACACACGCCAGTACCTCTCACCGTGCCTCCACTTCCTCCATCCCCTCTTTGACCAGTGGCCCCCGTAACCCGGCGGCCTTCTCCAGCAACCCACTGGGCCGCTCTATCGCGGCCTCCTGCTGGTCCGACGTCTCGAGCCCCCCCCTAAAAATTTTCGGGGCGTCTCTCCTACCCGTGGACCAGGTCTCCATAGACCTCGCCAGCCTCTCGCCCTTCTGCCATAGCGTCAAGCCCTTCTCCTCCTCACTCGGCTTGACCCAGTCCAGGAGGCGAAGGAGATCTGTGAGGGATCTCCCTGGCGACGGCTCCTGGACACGCTGCTTGGTCCCATCTTGGTGGGTTTTTCTGTCACGATCGTCATACATAGAGGACCAAGGCGCAGCGTTGAAGGTGAACATGTTTAATAATAATAATGATGATGATCAACCGATCAGAACAACAAACGAATAACGTGACGTCTACGGTTTAACACAAACCGAAATGAACAAAAACCCACAACACCCACAGGAAAACATACAGATAAATATGGCTCCCAATCAGAGATCACGAGCCGACAGCTGACACTCGTTACCTCCGATTGGGAGTCATTGACCAAACATAGAAATGCACCCAACAGAAATACAAACATAGAAATACACCCAAATAATGAACACACCCTGGCTCACTATACAGAGTCCCGGAGCCAGAGCGTGACAATTGCACCCGTTACTGAGATGGTTGTTCCAGTTTAGATGATTGAGGTAGTCTCAATATTCAATCTTCCCTACCCTGGCAATCATTCTGAATGCAGGTTTTAAAAAATTCTGCTAGTTGGATATCCTAACTCTTGCTGGAATACAATAGGAATTAAACATCACTTTGCAAGCCAGCATAATGTGATTTGCAGGCCTGATGTGGCCTATAAGCCAGGAGTTTCCTAACACCACTGTGTTACGGTATAACTAGGCCCTCAAAGAAAGGCCTTATTATATAGGCAATGCATTGTCATAAATCATTTAATTTTAAAGTCAAATAAGGCTGTTGGAACCGTTCATAGAGCGTTCTAGGAAAAACCCTCCTAAGATGAAAGGGTTCTCAGTAGAACCCTTCATAGAGGGTTCTAGGAAGAACCTTTAGAGGATAAAATTGTTCTTGGTAGAACCCTTCATAGAGGGTTCTAGGTAGAACCATTTACAGGGGGTTGTATGAAAAACCCTACATAGAGGGTTCCAGGTAAAACCCTCTGCAAAGGGTTCTACTTAGCACCAAAAAGGGATCCCCTATGGCTGGGGTGCCAAACTCATTCCATCGAGGGCCTAGTGTCTGAGGGTTTTTGTTTAGACATAGACAACCAAGTGATGTGAGTCCTTTACTAATTAGGAGCGAAAAGCCGCAGACACATGGCCCTCCGTGGAATGAGCTTGACACGTGCCCTATGGGGACAAACTGAAAAAAACAATATGGTTCTACTACTTTCTAAGAGTGTAGTGTGAAGACAGCCAACGGTTGATTTGATATTGTGATCTGTTTCAGAAGCCTTATAATGCACTATACCACCTGTGTGTAATGCTTTATGAATGCATTTACAGTCATTGTGCATTTGGAATGTTGTTATTATAACAAGCCTTAAAGGTGCAATCAGTAGAAATGTACAATCTAAACCGCTGTGAAATATATTTCAATAACCAAAGATATTGTATTTTCAGCTGTTTGAAACTGGTGTACAAAACCGGAAGTAAAAAGACACAAAACTGAAACATACAAATAGTGCATAGAACGGATCTACTGCTTATCAGTTTTGCTTTCAATGAGGATGACAGTTCTTTAACTCACATTTCTATGTGAATTTGGTTGGGTCGCCCACAAAGCAACATACAAAGCAAATGCCTTATGCACAGGTGGTTCATACAAAGTAGTAATACCAAAGTCATGCCTTTCTGTTTATGTGTATTTCCAAAACAGGATCACAGCTTGCGGGGCGGCTGGCGGTCGCAGCGTATTGGCCATGACCAAGTCACATGGTATCCAACTCACAGCGGACTTCCTGCTTCAGAAGGGCGAGTTGCTTCACATCCTGGTGGGCCAAAAAGGAGATGACGCTTGCCCCAACGTGAGTACCATCTTCCCAAAAGCTCAGAATACATGTCAAGGCTCAATACTTTCACAATTATGCCTCATCCCAAATTCAAATCAAATTAAATGGTTTGGGGGGCAGTGCAAATAGTCCGGGTAGCCATGATTAGCTGTTCAGGAGTCTTATGGCTTGGGGGTAGAAGCTGTTGAGAAGTATTTTGGACCTAGACTTGGCACTCCGGTACCGCTTGCCGTGCGGTAGCAGAGAGAACAGTCTATGACTAGGGTGGCTGGAGTCTTTGACAATTTTGAGGGCCTTCCTCTGACACCACCTGGTATAGAGGTCCTGGATGGCAGGAAGCTTGGCCCCAGTGATGTACTGGGCCGTACGCACTACCCTCTGTAGTGCCTTGCGGTCGGTGGCCGAGCAGTTGCCATACCAGGCAGTGATGCAACCAGTCAGGATGCTCTCGATGGTGCAGCTGTAGAATTTTTTGAGGATCTGAGGACCCATGCAAAGTTGACCCCTAGACCCTGCCTCCTAGGCAGGCACTTGGATCTAAAAAGACTGTGTAGATCTAAGAGGACTGTATCTAAGAAGGGTCTGATAACCTGGGAAAAACCAAATACACTGAAAACAAACCCAGGTTAAACCAGGGTTCTTAGTCCAGGGGGGCTATAGTAATGCTTCATTTTGCTTACTGATTAACCAGGTGGAATCGTTGCTTTATCACTTACACCTAAATGCAATCCTGTCAGTTATTTACAAGTGCATAAATAGCCTATTATAGACTACAGCGTGGTCTAGCTCGATCCAAACTGGAATGTTGAAGTCTCAGGGCTACGGCAAAAGAAGAACATCCTCAAAACTTCTCTCACACCATGAAGGAGCACGTTTGAATTAATATCCCATCGAATGCTTTGCCATTTCCACTGTAAACATTGTCAGCTAGGGAAGTGAGAAATTGAAAACATTTCTTAACGTTAAACAGCTTTGTTATCAGTTTTCTGTGCAAAAATTATAACACAAATTCATACAATTTCACGTGAATTCACAATGCAGCTGCGCTGCTGCCAGCAACGGTTTGGGTCTCACGGAGCTTCCCTTTCAGATGGTTAAGCATTGCAACTATTACTGCCATTACTGTACCTCAATTACGCCTCGCAAAGTTTGCATTTCACCACGTTAAGAAATGTTTTCCATTTGTCACATCCCTAGGTGAGAGTCTCAATCCAACAGTGGAAATGGCAAGATGCTTGATTTAACTTCTCAAAGTATTGCCATACAGGTCTCTGCTGCTGTCGCTTGCCTTTCTCTGCCATTTTATCAAACATTATTGATGACGTAGTCATCTCCAAAGTCAACTCCAAAATCATTGATTCCTCGACTCCTTGCACGTCGACTCCTGGTGTCGACTCCCATTTCTGAGTGTCAAGATTCAATTCTGCTAGGCCTATCTATCGGTAATCAAAAGCTGTATCTCACAATGGAATGCTGTATCTCGCAATTGTTTGGCTTGCAATGTATCGCAACTTCAGTAAAGCAGGGCCTATCATCAATGAATAGGCTAGGATATTCTACACGCAACAGACCGATGACTGAACACACGCGCATCATTATTGAAGAGAACGAACAGGCAAGCAGGCGAGACAGCGTGAGGGAGAGAGAGGAAGGGGCAGGCAGAAAGAACCATGCGCATATGTCTTAGTAATCTATATCTCACAATGTATTGTCTTGCATGCCTCATAAATTCACCAAAGTAGCCTAAAGTTTAACTCTTCCTCTCTGGTTTTATTTAAATTACACAACTTTCCCCCAGGCCTTTATAGCCAATCGTCTACGGCTATAACACAGAAAATAATATGTTTTGTGATAACTGCACTGTGATTTAAATTTAGTGGGGTGAAAATAAAAAATAAACATTGTTTTTCAGTTAGGGATTCTTTCTTAACGTTAAGGATCCCAATTTTGTTGAAACATTTTAACGGTTAAACGTTTACACCCCTACTGTCAGCACATTATGTTGTTTTTGGCCTCGTCCCAGAGTTGTCTTATACTTTGGAGTTCTCAGTCAGGAATCATTTGGATCAAAATATATTAGAGAAAAATGTCAGACAAGGAAAAGCTGAGAGGTGGCCCAGATGCATTGTCAGTGGGGAACTGGAGTCATTTGAGGTCTATAATTTCTATCAGGTCTATAATCCTGAAGGGAGTAGATACTCTCAAAGGTGGCTTTTAAAACTGATTAGTTCAGAGTGCTGGTGTGTTCTATGTTTCTCACAGCCTCCCCTCTGTAGGAGTATTAATATCCTTTTAGGCTTTTACACACCATATCGGACACTCACACATACACACATGCATGCATGCACGGACACACACACACAAAAGTGACAGATAGAGGTGGGAGGGTGTGGGGTAATTCTGTGTGCACTGGCGAATGTTGTTGAGTCCATTGCACTCTCCGCCCCCTCTCCTCCTGCAGCTGTCAATCAAACTCCCTGTTGGCCCATCCATCTCCAGCTCTGGCTGTAGGAGCCTGAAGGCCAGATTGATGAAAGGTCTCATGGTTGGAAGGAAGAGGACTAACTTTGATGTTTGGTTATTATTACCTGTCATCAGCACCGCTGGTCGTTTGGCTCTCGATAAATATCTCCTTTGTTGCAATAGCCCAAGGCGGCGATGGGTAGATTGGGTAGAATAACACATTAGGTGTAGTACTCCTATGCTCTTGGTCACGTTTTGTTTTGCATGACAAAGACTACAGAAGTTGGTAAAACAGCACAAACAGATCTGGGAATAGGCTGGTAGGCTAGTAAAAGCTCAATCCTACCTTAAGATATGAGCATGGAACTTGACATTAGCAGATATCTTCCATTGACATCAATGCATGATTTGTGAGGAAGTCTGGATTACACAGACGTACAGTGTCTCAAATGTGTTATTTCCCCTGAATAAAGAAACTCAAGTATCACTCTCTCTCCATTCTCATTGGTAGACCAACGGAATACTGAACAAGATCTGTGTAGAGCAGACGCCATTGGACAACAATACACAGGTCAAAGGGGGAGGGGGCGGAGGAGGAGGAGCCACCTATGTGTTCAAGGTAAGGAGAAAAGCCCGCTTCGCAATACTCTTAAAAAGCTTTCCCTGTTTTCTTGCCCTCCTTGATCACTGATAGGTGAAAATATTGGGTATGCCTCCTCCATATTGCTTTCAACTGTCAGATGTGAAGGAAGGAATGGAAATAAAATAGTCTGGTAAGGATTAGGGCTGTTGCGGTGACCCTATTACCGCCACTCCGGCAGTCCTGAGTCATGACCGCAGTCAGATTCCACGTGACTGTTGAGTCACAGTCATCTCCTCCTATGCACATGAATGGCGCTAATGCATTGGTTAGTACCTATCTCGCTTACGGCTGCTAACGGTCTGGTACTCAGCTCTCTATTGTCCCTCTAATCACTCTGACATCATTTTACATTTACATTTTAGTCATTTAGCAGACGCTCTTATCCAGAGCGACTTACAGTTAGTGAGTGCATACATTTTCATACTGGCCCTCCGTGGGAAACGAGCCCACAACCCTGGCGTTGCAAGCGCCATGCTCTACCAACTGAGCTACAGGGGACTATGCAGCAATGCAGACATAATTGGTCTAGCCTATAGGCTAATCCAAAATTAAAGAAACTCTAGTAATCACCTTTGCGTGTGGGCTGTATAATTATGCATACTGAATGGACTGGTTACCTTAAGCTACACTCCAAACTTTATATCCAAGAGTCTGGGAGAGAACCTATAGGCCTAGGCGATGCTGTTGGTTCATTGATTGTGCATGGCGGCTTACAGAGTATAGTTATTTACTTTGTTTAAATACGTAATAAGAAACCTCAGGACTCCAAATGTAAATTGTAATCAGGCAGAAAATCGATTGATTTTATTGATTGATTCAGAAGCACATATTCTAGGAAAAAGTTATATATTGAAACAAATACCAACCACGTAATTTGTAGAGTTGTTTGGCAAAAATAGGTTCATTAGAAACCTTGGAATCTGCTGTTTCTGATAGGCTATAGCAATCAAAACATCTGGCCTGCATGGACCTCTGTAGCATGATATGGAAGAAGTGCTTTTTGGTAAGCTTTGTTCCCTTCTTTGTCAATGCTGGTCATCAGCCTCCTCATTATTTTTTTGACAATCGATAATATTGTCACCCAGACTATTGTCAATTCAATCTTGTCTTTAGGCCACATCTATTGTTATTATTATTATTATTATTATTATTATTATTATTATTATTATTATTATTATTATATGTGTTAAATTAGTTTCAATATAGTTTAGATGTAGTTTGGATGGGCCAGCTGGGCAGGCAACTGTTGTCTTAGTTAGACAATACAATCTTATTTGAGTTTTTACTGTCTAACTGTGGCTCCATGTGTTCCTCATGTGAATAGGCTACTGGTGACAATCAGCAATAGCCATTTGGGAAAAATATCCTTTCTATTTTATTCTGTTATATTCCATTATATTCTTACTGCAACAGTGTTTTTTTATGACTAAATGAAATATTAATGGATCTATTTGTGATTGTGTATATTAACACTAGAAAGGCAGAGAGCATCATAATGACACAAAACGAATGTAAATGTTTAATTACTCTGCCATTTTTTAAGTCATGTCCCACTCGTCCTTGACTTTTCCTACATTAGTCTATATAACACACTGTCGTTAGAATCTTAAAATCACAAACAGAAGTGGAGTTATAACCAGTTTTAGGAGGGCATGTACTTTTTTGAATGGTTTTCCCCCATTGCCCCTCCTTCTCCCCGACAGTAGGGCCTGCTCCGCTCCTTCACCATAACACTACATGACCAAAAGTATGTGGACACCTGCTCGTCCAACATCTCATTCTTGAAACATGGGCATTAATATGGAGTTGGTCCCCCTTTTGCTGCTATAACAGCCTTAACTCTTCTAGGAAGGCTTTCCAGTAGATGTTGGAAAATTGCTGCAGGGACTTGCTTCCATTCAGCCACAAGAGCATTACTGAGGTTGGGCACTGATGTTGGGCAATTAGGCCTGGCTCGCAATCAGCATTCCAATTCATACCAAAGGTGTTTGATGGTGTTGAGGTCAGGGCTCTGTGCAGGCCAGTCAAGTTCTTCCACACTGATCTCAACAAACCATTTCTGTATGGACCTCGGACCTCGCTTTGTGCGCAGGGGTATTGTCATGCTGAAACAGGAAAGGGCCTTCTCCAAACTTTTGCCACAGTGTTGGAAGCGCAGAATCGTCTAGAATGTTACCATGAAAAACAGCCCGAACAATGAAAAACAGCCCCAGACCATTATTCCTCCTCCACTAAACTTTACAGTTGGCAATATGCATTTGGGCAGGTAGCGTTTTCCTGCTATATGGAATTGTTTTAAGAAAGTCATACCAAGGATCGTTTAGCTATTTGATTTAGAATTTTAAGATCCCTTGAAGTATCCCCAAAATATGTAATAAAAACATTATTTTGGGCCTTATTGCTAATATCCCATACAAACGCATTGAATAAGAAATTCACTACATGGAACAACAGATAGTCCCCAAAAATATCAAAAGGAAGTTTGTTCTGAAGTCCCTAAACTCGGCAAGAGTCTATTGTCCTGCTCATAGCCCATCAAGGGTGGATGGCTTCTTTTGTATTCCAATTTACTGGAAAGGCTGCTAAACCATTTACACCTGGCCCACAGCGTTGTTGCATACTTACAGTAGAATGTACTTTCACTCCATTCTCCGCCTGACTCTCTACCAAATGCCACCAGATTATTCTTTCTATTGTTAATAAATAAAACACCTACATTAAATAGCTCAAGTCTTGAAAATATGTGAAAACTTTTTTTTTAAATCTGTGCTTAGCCATCAACTTGGTAATTTAGCAGACATCACTTGTGAATATTCAGTCAACACATATATTATAAGAATGTAATGGAATATAAGACCATTTTAGTTTTTCTTAGAATTAAAAACCTTACAGTATAACAACAGTTTTAGTAAGTAATACGCTACAGTCCAGTTACAGCTTCTTCTGACAAAGTAGAAACAAAAAAAGTGTATTTTTTTTGTGTGAGCGCGGGACAGAGGAAGAGCAATTCTTACAATATTGTTCTAAATTCAATCACTCTCTTCTTCATCCTCATCAATTAGTTAATTCAAATTCAATTGTCACTCCTGTTCAACAACTCCAAATTGATTTTGCATGTGCTCCAAAGGGATAACATGATATAGGTTAATTTGTCACGTTCGTTGAATACAGGATTGGACCAAGGTGCAGCGTGGAATGCAGACATGTTTATTCACGAAGTTAACACACGATAAAACAACAAAAGCAACGTAACGTGACGCTCACAATGGCTACACACAAACAAGCCAAACAAGAGTCAAGATCCCACAACATAGGTAGGCAAAATGGCTACCTTAGTATGATCCCCAATCAGAGACAACGATCGACAGCTGCCTCTGATTGGGAACCACACCCGGCCAACATAGAAATACACAACATAGATATGCACATAGAAATTCACACCCTGACCAAACCAATTAAAGAAAACCGGGCTATCAAGGCCAGGGCGTGACAGTACCCCCCCACCCCAAAGGTGCGGACTCCGGTCGCAAAACCTAACTTAACAGGGGAGGGTCCGGGTGGGCATCTAGCCTCGGTGGCGGCTCCGGCTCCGGGCGTGACGTCCTCTCCCTTACTGCCTCCCCGTTGCACCCCTGGTCCAGTCTGGACCTCGGCGCGATGCTTCCCCTCTCAGTCCTCCCACGATGCACCAAGCCCTTTCTGGACCCTGGTGTGGGAGACCCCGACCCTGGAGAGGGGCTGACGTCTGGGCCTGGACAGGCAATCCCCCCGCGATGCACCAAGCCCTGTCTGGACCCTGGTGTGGGAGGCCCCAACCCTGGAGAGGGGTTGACGTCTGGTTCTGGAGTGGAGCCGCTGACCGGAGCTGAACTGGACCCCGGTGGAGCGGAGTGCTCTGGCTCTGGACTGGAGCAGCTGACCGGGGCTGGACTAGGAACCGGTAGAGCGGACTGCTCTGGCACTGGAGTGGAGCAGCTGATCGGAGCTGCTCTGGCACTGGAGTGGAGCAGCTGACCAGCGCTGGACTGGACACCGGTGGAGCGGACTGCTCTGGCACCAGCCGTACCGGGCTGGGGACACGCACCACTGGTCTGGTGCGAGGAACAGGCACGGGCCGTGCCGGACTGGAGACACGCACCACTGGTTTGGTGCAAGGAGTAGGCACAGGGCATACCGGGCTGGCGACATGCACCACTGGTTTGGTGCGAGGAGCAGGTATGGGCCGTACCGGACTGGATACACGCACCACTAGTTTGGTGCGGGGAGCAGGTACCGGGCTGGCGACACGCACCAATGGTTTGGTGCGGGGAGCAGGTACGGGCCGTACCGGACTGGATACCTGAGTATGATCCCCAATCAGAGACAACGATCGACAGCTGCCTCTGATTGGGAACCACACCCGGACAACATAGAAATACACAACATAGATATACACATAGAAATTCACACCCTGACCAAACCAACTAAAGAAAACCGGGCTCTCAAGGCCAGGGCGTGACATAATTAAATAATTGAAAGGAATTTTTTTATTATTTATTAGCCTAGTGGATATAAGTACGTTAGGCATATCATTTGAATTAGGCCTCATGTAAAATCATTGTCAAAAGCAAAAGAGATACTGTTGCATGACAAACAGGTGCTATTAGATTACAATATAATCTATCTGCCAGTTAGGAACAGTGTAAACAATACTAAATAAATAAATAAAGTATAAGTAATACCAGAGTCTGTTCTAATGAAAAAAAATTGTAAAGTCTTTAATACAGCATAGAAAGCTTAAAAACAGCAGGATTTGTGAAATTGCTTTATCCGATATTTTGCGGTTGCTTGGTGATCACAGAATCAGTAGGATATTAAACAAACACTCAAATAGGCAACAGAAGCAGGAACATCATAGGGCTGAGTGACTCACTCATTCCTGGCTTTCGTTCAAAATAAGTTATATTATAATGCAGGGTTAAAGACACATTTTCACATTCTTTGATATTGAGTTAGAAATGTACAGCTAATTTCATTTGAATTATTATGTGGATTATAATAAATTAATATATTTGTAGTGGTTGATGCATTTTTTGTTAGGGCAAATCTTGTCTGTGATGTTGAGTTACAAATGTAAAACTTTACGAGTACTTAAGCATCGAATACATTGCAGGTTTGCCCTTTTTTTGGCCAATAGGCTACACTTTACAATAGGACTCAACTCTGACTGACAGCAGCATCTATCGGTAGTCTAAACTGTGGCACGAATTGGGGGATTTTTCACACCTAGTCGAGCTATTAGACTATCCTTTTGTAAATTAATGGAGGTGTGAATGTTTCAGTCAGTCTCTCTCCTATCGCACTAGAGTCCTGCATCAGGTAAAAAATATCAGCTGGCGAGTGGTCCCGGAGTTGAGAGAGAACTTGGATAAATACAATGGCGCAATTACACTTGACATGTGGACTGACGATTTTCAAAATATAGGATACTTGTGCCTTAAAGCCCATTACATAAACAAAGACTGGATGTTATCCACCATGGAGTGGGACAGTGCATCTCAAAACTGCATATAACAGAAGGCCAGCTATTGTGAAAGAATACTTGTGGATCTTGTTGATTTCCTCTATCGCTTCAAGAGGCCTACTGTCCACCTGGTAATTGTGTGGTTCCAAAGGATAAAGCGTCACCTTCAGATGGATGTGTGGTTTCAGAGAGAAGCCAGCTGTGAGCCTGCGACCTGGCATGGTAGATGACATCCTTTTCCTGCACAGCAATTTGAAGAAATCCAGTGATGAATGGACTGTTTATTAAGTTATTGTTTTAGTATATTTATTTGTTGTCTAATATTAGAAGGCTCTTTAAAGCGATTTGAGTTGTCAATGTGCTGCATCGCATTGTGAAGAAAAAAATATATCTGTTCTTAATTCATGGCATGGTTTCTTTTTAGCCAAATGGACATTTTTTATATATATATATATATATATATTTTAACCTTTATTTAACTAGGCAAGTCATTTAAGAACAAATTCTTAGTTACAATGACGGCCTACACCGGCCAAACATGGACGACACTGGGCCAATTGTGCGCCGCCCTATGGGACTCCCAATCACGGCCGGTTATGATACAGCCTGGAATCGAACCGGGGGTCTGTAGTGACACCTCAAGCACTGAGATGCAGTGCCTTAGACCGCTGCGCCACTCGGGAGCACTGAGATGCAGACAAATTAATTAATGCAGGAAAAGAGGAATACTAGCCTACTGTCTGTAGTCATAAAAACAATTAGACTAAATAAATTGATATTATTTTGTTGGGTAACGGATTGGCTCTCGTAATTCATTAAGAGGCGGCTTCTATCTTCAATATAATCATTCATTCAGAAGGTTAAACCCATAGGTCTTAGGCCTGCAGTAAATTAAATTAGATTACCAAGTTCCATTTTCATTAGGTTATAATAATCCATGCCTTCTGGGAATTTTATAAACTCCTAAAGTGATGGGTGGAGTTTAAAATGTGGCTGTCAGAAGTATTACAATGGAAATGAACTTTTAATCCGTCTGTCTGCAAATTTCAAGACATGGCATATAAGGGTGCAGTGAGAAACCCTATGCGTTGGATGATACTTTTCTCGTCAATCATCTTGAAAAAATGTATACTTAAAAACTGAAAATCAACCAATGTCAGCCTTTAAATGATTTATTATCCAAATGTTGAAAGTGCGTGTGGGCGACGGAGAGAAACAAAATGGTGCAGTTTGAGGCGATGTGGCGAAGAGTGATGCGGGCACTGGAGATGGGGGTGTGAGCAGGTGGGTCTGGGCAGGGGTGATGTAGTTGTCGTTTGTATGTGTATGTTTTGTATTGTCTGAAAATATCAAATCAAATCTTACAAAAAAATTAATTAAGGAGAAATTACGAGCTTGCAACACACATCTGATTATTCATTATGAATATAATTGATTTAGTTTACATTATTCATTGTAACCACAACGTCACAAATAATTGAACACAAACAACATGAGCAGATTAACTTGGTCAAAACATTTGTTTATTAAAGACTATCAGAAAGAATGTTCGTACGTATTTATTTTGATCCAAAGCCACGAATGAGTGAGTCATTCAGCTTTATGCTGACAAATATAGCTTTATGGTGGAAAAGAGCCTACTAAATAGGCCAAGCCTAAACAAATCTATTAAATTGCCTAAATAAACAAGTACATTTCATAAATAAATGAAGTAGCTCAGGTCTTGAATATATGGACACTTTTATCCCCTCCCTGTCCTCGCTGGACTCTCTGTCATTCAGTTTCTTCTTCACATCAACAAAGAAGGACTCCGTGTTTCAGAAACTCACTTTATGTAGAGGGGCTATCACTCTTTTACACTGTGGTAAATAAAGCCAGTTTGTTATTTATAATTATTTATTTCTGTTTTTAGAGGGAGAGAAACCAAAAGCCCACTGTGCCTATTTTTCAAAAATCGTCAGTCCACATGTCAAGTGTAATTGCGCCATTGTATTTACCCAAGTTCTCTTTTAACTCCGGGACCACCCGCCAGCTATTTTTTTGTTGCTGCCTGATGCAGGACTCTAGTGCCAGAGAAGAGAGACTCTCGGACTGAAACATTCACACCTCCATAAATTTATGAAAAGATAGTCAATTTGTGCCACAGTTTAGACTACCGATAGATCAGCGTTCTATCTCCCCCTTGTGATAGTGTGGTGCAATGACAGAATAACGCAATGTACCATAATCTGACACCATCTACGACAAACGGTTGCTGCATGAGCTCGAAACTTTTAATTGAGGAACCACTGTATATCTGAGAGATATAAGAAAGATCAGGACACGTTTGTGATTTTTTTTTTTTTTACAGGTATTGAACCCCTTATTTTTGGCATTAAACAGTCTCAATATATACACTACCAGTCAAAAGTTTTAGAACACCTACTCATTCAAGGGTTTTTCTTTATTTTTACTATTTTCTACATTGTAGAATAATAGTGAAGACATCAAAACTATGAAATTACACATATGGAATCATGTAGTAACCAAAAAAGTGTTAAACAAATCAAAATATATGTTATATTTGAGATTCTTCAAATAGCCACCCTTTGCCTTTGTCACGCCCTGACTCTGAGGACTCTCATTTGTTGAGTCAGGGTGTGATTTTCCTTGTTGTGTATGTTCCTATGTGTTATTTTCTAGGGTTGGATCTAGTAGTTATAGATCTATGTTGGCCTGTGTGGTTCCCAATCAGAGGCAGCTGTTGCTCGTTGTCTTTGATTGGGGACCATACTTAGGCAGCCTTTTGGCACCTGTTAGTTGTGGGATCTTGTTCTGTGTGAGGTTTGTTGTGTGTACCTTAGGACGTCACGTATCGTTAGTTTATTGTCTTTGTTCGTTGTGTTTATTCTATATATAATAAACATGAATGCATGTCATGCTGCGCCTTGGTCCTTCTCGTTCGTAAACGATCGTGACAGCCTTGATGACAGCTTTGCACACTCGTGGAATTCTCTCTACCAGCTTCACCTGGAATGCTTTTCCAACAGTCTTGAATGAGTTTCCACATATGCTGAGTAGTTGTTGGCTGCTTTTCCTTCACTCTGCAGTCCGACTCATCCCAAACCATCTCAATTTGGTTGAAGTCAGGGGATTGTGGAGGCCAGGTCATCTGATGCAGCACTCCATCACTCTCCTTCTTGGTAAAATAGCCCTTCCACAGTCTGGAGGTGTGTTGGGTCATTGTCCTGTTGAAAAACAAATGATAGGCCCACTAAGCCCATATGTTTTGATTTCTAAGACATTTTAAGGTTTGTATCATTCACAACTAAAGTTGCCAAATGACTCTAAATCTAGCGTATAGGACCTGTTTCAAATGATCACTTTTGCGCTCAACATAGCTCATATGTGCACTCGATCAGGAATGGGAAGAATATCCTTTCAATTTTATTCAGCTAAGTTAAATTATATTATTCTTACTATAAAGTCATTTAATATAAAATAATGACACAGAATTTATAAGCATATCTTGTCTGCTAAATGAACTAGCCTACAGCCTTCCATTTGCATTGCACATAGCCAGATAACATAAAGTAGAATATGCTATTCTGTTCTTCTGAAATACATTTTCTTCATATCATAATGTTTCTTTAGACCAGCCTAAAATAAATAATGGATTTATTGTGATGGTGTATATTAAATGGATTTATTACACTTTTTAAAAATTGTATATGTTCTAAAGGCATGCATCATGCGAGGAGGCCTGGAGATGGTAAATGTGTTTATGTTAATTAATGGTTAATTACCCTGAGATCTGCAGGCATTTGCATGACAGTTACCATCTGACAAAATGTAAGGATAAGGAAGTTAGGAAAGGAAATTAAAGGGGATGTATTAGATGATTTGTATGATTTATAAAAATATGTTGTTGTTTCTTTCCTCAATTGAGCACCTGTGCATTTTTTATTGAAGCTTGAAACGGGTCTGGGCAAACCAACATTAAATGTATAATATATGCTAGAGATTGATGTAACACTGACTAATTTGCCATGGTAACAGGTGCAGAGGGGTGTCCACATCCCCCTGATCATCGCAGGTGGAGGTGGGGGACGTGGTTACAGCAGCCAATCGGACAGCCAGGATGAGTTAATGGACGACCCCAATGTACCAGGGCGCAACGGGAAGTCTGGAGCGGCAGGTAAAACTTCCAACAACACAGTGTTTTGTGTTGTGAAGGTCTGCTTGACAGTGTATGTGTGTGCCTGCCTGTGCGCGCGCCTTTGTTGTGTGTCTGTTTGCTCGTTCCGGTGTGTTTGTGTGGGGGCGTCTGCCTCAGTGTTTGCCCCCAATCCATTCTGGCCCCCTGTGTCCCGCTCCCTTGGTGCAGTTTGAATTCAATACAACTACAGCCTTTTAAAGGCTGGCTCCCCAACTGAGTTATATTAACAACTCAATATAAATATTTACCACTTTAATCTCTCAACCCACCCAGTGTTTTCAGTGTCTTGTGCTCCATTATGTGTTTCAAGTACATTTTCTGTGTGGCTTGTTTGTACTTAGAGCTAGAGTATGCTTTAGCGGGGATAGACAATGTTTGTTTACAGTATTGTATAACGTTGGTTTATATATTATAATTTTTTTGTGAGGAATTTACCGTAGAACGTTGCATTTGAGACTATGTACTCCAGTTTTGTGGTTTGTTTATGGTAATAGAAAATGAGTTTCATAGGAGCGCTACCTATGTGCATAGTAATATTTATATTTCTTACTAGTAAAACAAGACAGGACAAGATGACAAGCTTGCATGCCTATTATTTTCACAATTTGTCTCTCTCCGCCTCTACCCGGGGTGCAAACACACATTACCTCTACATTACCGTTATTTTTTACACATCTCTGTATCCATTATTCAATCATTTTGAGTCATATTCGGCTGTTCAGTAGGCCTTAGACTTACTGTGAGTGTAGCCCGGTGAGCGCAAATGAAAAATTCACTCTGTCTGGTCTGTTTGCTGTTTGTTGCTGGCGTAGAGTTTTCTATTTTTAGAGGTTTTGGATATACTTGTTTGTCTCAATCGAGTGGTGGGAGAGAAGAGGAGAAAATAGGGCAAGACGCAAGCCGGAAGAGTTTGTGTAGGATTAATTGTGGGTGTCTTCGTGCTAACTACAGCCCAAGCCTGGTTTTGGCCCCTACTACAAGCTACTGCCAAGTCTCTATCAGATAGAGAGGTGGTTACTGTCTTTCTGGCTCGGCGCTGGAAGCATTCCTGTTGCTTTTTCAGACAATGGACCTGAGTGTGAATGGGTGGATGTTAGGGAGTTTCAATCAAATTAATCATAATAGTATCATCTCCCATCCATAAGAACAACCTTTATCTACATGTTGGTGCCCCATATGAGGATGATCCTCTACATTATGGTGCCCCATTTGAGGATTGACTTGCAACTTTCAAGGACTGTGACTATCCAGGAATCAATCAATCAAGCATTCAATCAATGATTCATTGATTGATTGGCTATCCAGAAGTTGTCTGTAAATGTGTGTACATTATTTAATCCAGTGTATAACTGTTTTAGTGTTTGTCCTTTATATCTTTGTGTGTGTTAGGTGGAGGCGGAGGTTGGAATGACAGTAACCCTGGGTCTCAGGGTGGGAGACCCCTCATACTTGGAGGCCAGGGGGGGCAACCCTGCCAGGTGTTGGGCTGGAAGACCCGAGGGGGCTTCGGGGGAGGGGGAGGCGCCTGTACATCCGGTGGTGGAGGAGGGGGGTATAGAGGTAGGTAAAAAATATTTACAATAAATATACAGTATATAGTAACATGACTATAAAGCAATGCAGTGCATTCGGGAAAGTACTCAGACCACTTGACTTTTTCTACATTTTGTAACGTTACAGCCTTATTCTAAAATTGATTAAATCGTTTTTTCCCTCATCAATCTACACAAGATACCCCATAACGACAAAGCAAAAACAGGTTTTGAGAATGTTTTCAACCCCCCAAAAAATGACATTTACATTAGTATTCAGACCATTTACTCAGTACTTTGTTGAAGCACCTTTGGCAGCGATTACAGCCTCGAGTCTTCTTAGGTATGACGCTACAAGCTTGGCACATATGTATTTGGGGACTTTCTCCCATTCTTCTCTGTAGATCCATTCAAGCTCTGTCAGGTTGGATGGGGAGCGTCGCTGCAAAGCTATTTTCAGGTCTTTTCAGAGATGTTCGATCGGGTTCAAGTCCGGGCTCTGGCTGGGCCACTCAAGGACATTCAGAGACTTGTCCCAAAGCCACTTCTAAGTTGTCTGAGAAACCAATCTTGGTTTCATCAGACCAGAGAATCTTGTTTCTCATGGTCTGAGAGTCCTTTAGGTGCCTTTTGGCAAACTCCAAGCAGGCTGTCATGTGCCTTTTACTGAGGAGTGGCATCTGTCTGGCCATTCTACCATAAAGGTCTGATTGGTGAAGTGCAGCAGTGATGGTTGTCCTTCTGGAAGGTTCTCCCATCTCCACAGAAGAACTCGGGAGCTCTGTCAGAGTGACCATTGGGTTCTTGGTCACCTCCCTGACCAAGGCCTTTCTCCCCCGATTGCTCAGTTTGGCCGGATGGCCAGCTCTAGGAAGAGTCTTGGTGGCTCCAAACTTCTTCCATTTAAGAATGATGGAGGCCACTGTGTTCTTGGGGACCTTCAATGCTGCAGAAATTTTTTGGTACCCTGTACCTTGATACAATCCTGTCTCAGAGCTCTACGGACAATTCCTTTGACCTCATGGCTTGGTTTCTACTCTGACATGCACTGTCATTCGTGGGACCTTGTATAGACAGGTGTGTCCCTTTCCAAATCATGTCCAATCAATTGAATTTACCACAGGTACAATCAAGTTGTAGGAACAACTTAAGGATGATCAATGGAAACAGGATGCACCTGAGCTAAATTTCGAGTCTCATAGCAAAGGGTATGAATACTTATGTAAATAATGTATTATTTGTAATACATTTGCAAAAATGTCTAAGAACCTGCTTTCGTTTTGTCATTATGGGGTATTGTTTGTAGATTGATGAGGGCAAATTTTTTTTAAATTAATTTTAGAATAAGGCTGTAACGTAACAAAATGTGGGAAAAGTGATGCACAGTATAACAATATATTACATTACATCTTCAGTCTTATCTTAACATCCAATAACAGTCAAAAGTTTGGACACACCTACTCATTCAAGGGTTTTTCTTTAGTTTTACTATTTTGTAGAATAATATTGCAGACATCAGAAATTGAATCTTGTAGTAAGCAAGAAAGTGTTAAACAAATCAAAATATATTTTATATTTGAGATTCTTCAAATAGCCACCCTTTGCCTTGATGACAGCTTTGCACACTCTTGGCATTCTCTCAAACAGCTTCATGAGGTAGTCACCTGGAATGCCTTTCAATTAACAGGTGTGCCTTCTTAAAAGTTAATTTGTGAAATGTCTTTCCCTCATAATGCGTTTGAGCCAATCAGTTGTGTTGTAACAAGGTATCGGGGGTATACAGAAGATAACCCAATTTGGTAAAATACCAAGTCCATATTATGGCAAGAACAGCTCAAATAGGCAAAGAAAAACAACCGTCCATCATTACTTTAAGACATGAAGGTCAGTCAATATGGACAATTTCAAGAACTTTGAACGTTTCTTCAAGTGCAGTCTCAAAAACCATCAAGCGCTATGATGAAACTGGCTCTCATGAGGACCGCAACAGGAATGGAAGACCCAGAGTTAACTCTGCTGCAGAGGATAAGTTCATTAGAGTTTCCATCCTCAGAAATTGCAGCCCAAATAAATGCTTCACAGAGTTCAAGTAACAGACACATCTCAACATGAACTGTTCAGCGGGACTGTGTGAATCAGGCCTTCATGGTCGAATTACTGCAAAGAAACCACTACTAAAGGACACCAATAAGAAGAAGAGACCTGCTTGGGCCAAGAAACATGAGCAATGGACATTAGACCGGTGGAAATCTGTCCTTTGGTCTGGAGTCCAAATTGGAGATTTTTGGTTCCAACCGCCGTGTCTTTGTGAGACGCGGTGTGGGTGAATGGATGATCTCCGCATGTGTGTTTCTCACCATAAAGCATGGAGGAGGAGATGTTATGGTGTGGGGGTGCTTTGCTGGTGACACTGTCTGTGATTTATTTAAAATTCAAGGCACACTTAACCAACATCACTACCACAGCATTCTACAGCGATACGCCATCTGGTTTGGGCTTAGTGGGACTATAATTTGTTTTTCAATAGGACAATGACCCAACACACCTCCAGGCTGTATAAGGGCTATTTTACCAAGAAGGAGAGTGATGGAGTGCTGCATCAGATGACCTGGCCTCCACAATCCCCCGACCTCAACCCAATTGAGATGGTTTGGGATGAGTTGGACAGCAGAATGAAGGAAAAGCAGCCAACAAGTGCTCAGCATATGTGGGACCTCCTTCAAGACTGTTGGTAAAGCATTCCAGGTGAAGCTGGTTTAGAGAATGCCAAGAGTGTGCAAAGCTGTCATCAAGACAAATGGTGGCTATTTGAAGATTCTCAAATATAAAATATGCTTTGATTTGTTTAACACTTTTTGTTTACTACATGATTCCATATGTGTTATTTCATAGTTTTGATGTCTTCACTATTATTCTACAATGTAAAAAATAGTAAAAATAAAGAAAAACCCTTGAATGAGTAGGTGTGTCCAAACCTTTGACTGGTAGTGTATATATTGTAGATGTCATGTAGATTTTCAATAACTATCTGTCACTTTGACATTGTTGGTCCATAAAATGTTATTATCATTATATATCATTAGATAATATCATCAGGTAGCACTTTAGATTAAATTATACCTACTGTACATACCAGCGGTGTCAAACTCATTCCATGGAGGGCCTAGTGTCTGCGGGTTTTTGGTTTTTCCTTTCAATTAAGACCTAGACAACCAGGTGAGGGGAGTTCTTTACTAATTAGTGACATTAATTCATCAATCAAGTACAAAGGAGGAGCGAAAACCTGCAGACAATCGGCCCTCCGTGGAATGAGTTCGACAAGTGCTATATACCATGGACGTACAATCAGTTCACTGACTGATTGTGTAATTTTATTACCACGGCCATCCCCTTCCCTTTCTCTAGGTGGCAGCACCTCTGAAGCAAATGACCCAAAGCAGGACGGAGAGGATGGCTCCTCTTTCACCAACCCAGAGGGTGAGATCTTCCTGGACGCTCTGAAAGGTAACGGATTATGAAATGAGAGACAATTACAGTACACTATAGGGCGGCAACCGGCAAGGTAGAGGTTAGTGAGGCGGACGAGTAGTAAGGTTGCTGGTTCAAGCCTCAGGCAGGGCGATAAAGGTGGGAATTGAACAGGCAACCAGAGGCTTGCTGGTCTCTGCTCCCAGGTACCTTTCATTACTGTTACCCTTGAGCAAGGTACTTTGCCCATACAATTGCTCTGGCGGTGCTGCTCTGCGGTTGACACGGTGTTGCTCCCAGCCTATTCTATTCTATTATGTAGGCTAGTGCAGCTGGAACATTGTATATTGTGGGATGAGGAATAAAGCAAAGGGGCAGCATATACGGTGGGACAAATGCATGGGGCATATCCTTTGACCATTTCCTGTGTCTGTGCCTGTAGGGATGGAAAGTGATGGAGAGGTGATCATCGGCCCCGTGCAGAACTGTAGCCACTGTGAGACGGGCGAGTGTCATGAGATCGAGGAGGGGACCATGTGTTACTGTGAAGAGGACCTCGTACTTGCCCCCGACGGTGTCTCTTGTGTCAACGCATCAACAGGTCAGAGACACACATACACACACTCTCTCACTCTGACGCACACACACACACACACACACACTCATTTACATTTTAGTCATTTAGCAGACGCTCTTATCCAGAGCGACTTACAGTTAGTGAATACATATTTTTTTATACTGGCCCCCCGTGGGAAACGAACCCACAACCCTGGCGTTGCAAACGCCATGCTCTATCAATTGAGCTACATCCCTGCCGGCCATTCCCTCCCCTACCCTGGACGACGCTGGGCCAATTGTGCGCCGCCCATGAGTCTCCCGGTCGCGGCCGGCTGCGACAGAGCCTGGATTCGAACCAGGATCTAGTGGCACAGTTAGCACTGCGATACAGTGCCTTAGACCACTGCGCCACTCAGGTGTCGCCACTCACACACACAAACACACACACACTCTCACACACATACCCTTTGAAATATAACATAGTCATTGATGAATAGAATAGCATTCTACATATAAATGAAACCATAATTAACCTTCCTTAAATCATCCTCCTAAAAGTAATCTATTAGCAGGTGTTCTATACTTTATTGAATCCTACTCATAGGAAATGCTTTTTAATGGTGTAGTAATAATGCACTAATTGTTAATTTTTTTTGGATCAATTCTTAGGATAGCTTGTAACATCAGGTATCTACAGTATGTTGGAGGTGAAATCATTGTTCCATATTACTCTTCCAGTCTTGGGTCAAAAACATAGGTCACATACTTTTAAAAACTTCAAAGGTTAGTACTTGAAAATATTTTCATGTGTGCTTGATTGACCTTGGAGTTTGCATTTTGGGGACTATACCATTGGTGACCATTGTGCAGCACATGGAAAGTATTGAGATAATATGTAGTATGCAGGTATGCCGGCGCTAATAGAAGTTTATAATGGTTCTTGTCTGGGTAAACAAAGATTCTGAGCCACCCCAAAAACATTCTCCAACACCCAAAGATGACCACAACAACAATATATTCTGTAGTGGTGGGCATAAATATCGATCATTTTATATGATATAGCTCTCAGAACATTCACACCTGGCACAATGGGCAATCAGCAAGCAGTTGTCTGGGCTTAACAGAGCTCTGGAAGTCAACAGAAAAGTGAATGTTTTTTATAAAACCGATATCTAACATTATCTTATCGGGAAAAGAATGCAGCTGATATGGGAATAGATTTTCCATATCTGTATCCATCCATAGAATTAGGAATTAGGACTCATGCCCTTCACTAATATTCACTTAATTTTGTGATGCTCTTCTAATAAGATGTATTTGACCCAGGTCTGAACTCTTCTCTCCCCTGGCAGAGGTGTCTCCCCTGCCACCCCAGCCCTCCCTGTCCCATCTGGCCCTGTGTCTGTCTGTAGGGACCTCAGCCCTCATCGCTGCCCTGCTGCTAGCTGTGTCTGGAGTCATGATCAGTGAGTGGTGAAATGCGTCGGATACACACATGTGGTTGTGTGGCACACACACACACGCAGGCTCATGCGGACTCACACAGGCACACACACATGCACACACACATTTTGGTGTAAGGCCAATTAAAAACATGTAGGTATTTGGGGTTATCTATACATACTGTGAGAACACAACACATACCATTGCATGTGAACACATGTTATGTGCGCACGAGCACACGTATGTGCATACACACACACAGGAAGATTGATGCACACACACAAACACATCATTTCATTTGCACTCTGCACAAACACACACTTTTCCACACTGCCACTCACAAAGGCTGTAGATTCCCTGTAGATTTCTACACAGAATCAGAAAGCGCTTGCTTACTGGAATAAATACCCTTGGGGGTTTATACACTAAACGTTGCTGCTGGCTGCTAGCTGACAAGAGTGAGCGCTATCGCACGCAGACACATGCACTCGCTCATTGAGCCGTCAAGCCACACATCACAACAACAGCAGCATGATGTGCTGGTGGGGGAAGAATGATGAATTACACGCACGCATGTGGGCGTGCACGCACACACACTGATTAATTAAACACGCCAATGATGGACATCAAGTTAAGCAGCAGTTGACAGATCTCATACATTACCACATTACCACTAAGTCCACATGTTCCACGACTAATGTGTTTATAGCCCGGGTCAGGACCATTTCAGTCTCTCTGCTGCCGCGCTCTACACTCTTAGAAAAAAAGGTTTAGATTTGTTCCTAAAGGGGTACAAATGCTTGTCACTGGGGTGGTACCCTGTAAGGTGTCCTTTGTACCTTTAGTTACAGGTACATATTTGTACCCCAGTTCATACCTCAGATAGTACTTTTCTTACATACAGTGCATTCAGAAAGTATTCAGACCCCTTCACTTTTTCCACATTTTGTTACATTACAGCCTTATTCTAAAACGGATAGAATTATTTTTTTCCCTCATCAATCGACACACAATACCCCATAATGACAAAGCGAAAACAGGTTTTTAGAAAAAAAAAACATATTTACATAAGTATTCAGACCCTTTGCCATGAGACTCGAAATTGAGCTCAGGTGCATCCTGTTTCCATTGATCATCCTTGATGTTTCTACAACTTGATTGGAGTCCACCTGTGGTAAATTCAACTGATTGGACATGATTTGGAAAGGCACACACCTGTCTATATAAGGTCCCACAGTTGACAGTGCATGTCAGAGCAAATACTAAGCCATGAGGTCGAAGGAATTGTCCATAGAGCTCATAGACAGGACTGTGTCGAGGCACAGATCTGGGGAAGGGTACCAAAACATTTCTGCAGCATTGAAGGTTCCCAAGAACACAGTGGCCTCCATCATTCTTAAATGGAAGAAGTTTGGAACCACCACGACTCTTCCTAGAGCTGGCTGTCCGGCCAAACTGAGCAATCTGGGGAGAAGGGCCTTGGTCAGGGAGGTGACCAAGAACCCGATGGTCACTCTGACAGAGCTCCAGAGTTCCTCTGTGGAGATGGGAGAATCTTCCAGAAGGACAACCATCTCTGCACCACTCCACCAATCAGGCCATTATGGTAGTGGCCACATGGAAGGCCCTCCTCAGTAAAAGGCACATGACAGCCCGCTTGGAGTTTGCCAAAAGGCACCTACCGACTCTCAGACCATGAGAAAGAAGATTCTCTGGTCTGATGAAACCAAGATTGAACTCTTTGGCCTGAATGCCAAGCGTCACGTCTAGAGGAAACCTGGCACCATCCCTACGTTGAAGCATGGTGGTGGCAGCATGATGCTGTGGGGATGTTTTTCAGTGGCAGGGACTGGGAGACTAGTCAGGATCAATGGAAAGATTAACGGAGCAAAGTACAGAGAGATCCTTGATGAAAACCTGCTCCAGAGCGCTCAGGACCTCAGACTGGGGCTAAGGTTCACCTTCCAACAGGACAACGACCCTAAGCACACAGCCAAGACAATGCAGAAGTGGCTTCGGGACAAGTCTCTGAACGTCCTTGAGTGGCCCAGTCAGAGCCCGGACTTGAAACCGATCGAACATCTCTGGAGAGACCTGAAAATAGCTGTGCAGTGACGCTCCCCATCCAACCTGACAGCGCTTGAGAGGATCTACAGAGAAGAATGGGAGAAACTCCCTAAATACAGGTCTGCCAAGCTTGTAGTGTCATACCCAAGAAGAGGTGCTTCAACAAAGTAGGTGCTTCAACAAAGTGCTTCAACAAAGTACTTAGGTGCTTCAACAAAGTACTTAGTAAAGGTTCTGAATACTTATGTAAATGTCATATTTCAGTTTTGTATTTGTAATAAACTTCTAAAAACCTGTATGTCTTCACATATCTGTCCATATTTCCTCATAATATATTCATATTCTTGTCTATGCAGTGTACAGACGGAAGCACATAGAGCTACAGTCCATTCAGCTGGAGCTCCAGAGCCCAGACTGTAAGCTGAGCAAACTGAGGGCCTCCACCATCATGACCGACTACAACCCCAACTACTGCTTCGCTGGGAAGAGCGCCTCTGTCAACGACCTGAAGGAGGTGCCCCGACGCAACATCTCCCTCACCAGGTAAAGCTAGCCTGTAAAAATAGTCATAATCAACAGCAATATAATATATGCCATTTAGCAAATGATTTTATCCAAAGCGACTCAGTCAAGTGTGGATAAATGTTTTGCGTATGGGTGGTCCCGGGAATCGAACCCTCTATCCTGACATTGCAAGTGCCATGCTCTACCAACTGAGCGACAGAGGACCACAAAAAAAAGAACAACTAGAATACGTTGTTGTTTTAGACTACACCCAAAAATGAGTTTCTGGAACACCACAGGTGTTCATTCCCTAATACTGACAAAGTGTAACAGCATCAGCTCTAATAAAGTGTTAATTTAAGTCGGAATTTGCAACACCCATGGAGTTAGGGACCCAACACTCTTGGGGTGTTAGCGTCACACTATTCCGGTGGGTCACATACTGTATACACACTAAGAAAGTATTACATTTAATACTGTGGGTGTAAGAATTCTGATCTCAAATTTGTAGTGTAACTAAAATTCAACTCATGCTTTTGAAAAGCATGGCCGATTTCATGTTCAGTATCACTAAATTACTATTACATTTGTTTGCTGAGATGAGTTCAAATGGAATCAACAGTTGTGTTTTTGCTAAGTAGTGATGGGGAAACAAAGCTTTCTGAAGCATTGAGGCTTTCCAGCCAATCCTGTTGAAAATAAGTGCATTTCTCGAGACTTTGATCAACAGAGTGTACACTAGTGGCACCTGCTGATCAAAAGAATTTAGAGCAGCCAAATTATTGTAGATGACGTCCCACGCGCTATAGCGCGTGCGCAGTGTAGCCTTTTTGTCTTCTACTGGTTGTTTGACTAAGTGAAGCTTTGGACTTCATTGATCATGTACTTCTGATAAAATGATACAGGCATCGACACACTGCTTTGAAGTACACTGCTTAGCGATTTAAACGCATGTCTCTGAGCTCCGGTAT